AGGCGCGGACGGGACGCGACACCCTTGATTGGTATGCAACGCACGGCACGCGGGCCGCCGCCATGCGTGAGAGGGAGAGAGAGAGAGAGAGAGAGAGAGAGAGAGAGAGAGAGAGAGAGAGAGAGAGAGAGAGAGAGCATCCGGCGTACAGCGACTCTCCTGGCCGCGTACCGCCCGTTACGACAGGCCGCCTGCTCAGCCTGTCCGTCATCAGGTCGCTGTTTACACCTCGGCCTGCACACTGGTGCTGCACCGCCCGCCCACGACCGGAGTGCCTGTTGACAGCCGCGGCGTGGAGGGGCAAGAAGTCCTTCCCTGCGGTCCGCGGTGTCGGCATTGCTTGGCCTTCGCCAGCACGCCGACGACGCCCCTGCAGTCCGCGCGGCACCCTCGGATATCCATTGTCTCTTTGCGCGCGCTCTGCACCTGGCACGTAAGATGGCATCGCAACACTTGTGACAAAATCTGTTTTTTCTCTGCTTCCGAGAAGCGAGGACGGAGCCCATACTGTTTTCATGGCCCCCTGCCGCCTCCGACACCCCCGACGACGCCTCCGAGGCGACGACGGCCGTCGGCCCTGACGACGGCGGCCGGGCGGGCTGCCGCTGCCGGCGGCACCCGAAGACGAGCCGAACGGCTAGCCGAAGCCGGGCGGCGCGGTGGTGGGGGGAGGCGGCCGCCGCCCGGAGCGGCGCGGCGCCCCGCCCGGCTGGCAGCCTTCCTCAGTCCCTGAGAGCCGCCCGAGTCAGAGGGTCGTGTCGCACTGTGCCGCGGAACACCCCTGCCGTACAGCCGTAGCAGTAACTCGCGATCTCGCGCCGAGTGTGTCGCCTGCCTTCACCAGCCGCCTCTTTTGGATTACCACTGTTGGATTACCCGCCTCACCACTTGGATTAAATGCCTTCTCATCATCGCCTGGGATTACTCGACGTGTGTGTGCAGTGATTTTTGTGAAAAAAAGTGACGATTCCGCCGGTTGTGAGCGGCGAGTGATTTCAAGTTTCGTGGATGCTCATGGGAGTGTTGGATACCAACATGCTGACCTCCGGAGCCAATCAGTACCTGCAGCCGGACTACCTGTCGCCGCTGCCGACCACGGTAAGCATCACTCACTCATTCACCCGCAATAAGCTCACGGGCCGGCCCGTATGGAACCGCCCCGTACTTAACACTTCCGGTCGCAAATGGCGCGATGCCGTGCGCGCCCGTCGCTGTAATGAGCGCGGATCGCGTGCTCGAGTGGGGCCTCCGGGGCCTCCGGGGCTCCGGGGCCTCCGGGGCTCCGGGAACTCCAGGGCCTCCGGGGCGCACTCGGGGGCCTCCTCGCGGCGCTCGCCGGCGCGGTGCTAGCTCAGGCACGACAGCTGCGCGCGGCTCGGCCCGCCTCCGGGCCCCGGGGGACAGGACGTTGTCTGTTGGTTCAAACCCGGCCCATTAGTTTGCGCTCGCTCTTGTAACTCGCCCTTAACTTCACCCTCAATCAGACGGCCCCGCTTCAACCCTGCCCTTTTCTTTTCTTCTGTCTGCAGCTGGACGCCAAGAAGAGCCCGCTCGCGCTGCTGGCGCAGACGTGCAGCCAGATCGGCGCCGACACGCCGTCCAAGCCGCTGGCGCAGGACAAGCCCGCCGCCAAGAAGCACGCGTCCTCCAACGGCCGGCCGTCGTCCTCGGGCGGCCACAGCCCGGCCAACAACAAGCGCGCCAGCCCGTCGAGCGCCTCGAGCGCCGCGTGCTCGCCGCCGGCCGCGTCTCCGTCGCAGCCGCAGGGCAAGCTCGCCTTCAAGCCCTACGAGGCCAACGTGCTCTCCAGGCGAGAGGACCGGCCGCCGTCCAAGTCCGGCTCCGAGGCCGCCGCCGATGACCGGAGCAGCAAGTCGGCGGGCAGCGCGCAGGCCTCGCGCAAGTCGTCCTCGCCGCGCACCACCTCGCCGCCCAGCAGCAAGTCCCTGGCGCCGTCCTCGCAGGCGTCCGCGTCCTCGCCCAGCGCCAGCCCGCTCATCCGCTCCGGCCTGGAGGTGATGCAGGGCCACGCCAAGGACCCCATGGGCGCCTTCAAGGCGGCCGCGGGCATGGCGGGGCTGGCCGGCCTCACGCCCGCGCAGCTGGCGCAGCTGTGCTGCCCGCCCGGCTACGAGTCGCTGCACCCCGCCTTCCGGCCGCCGCTCGCCGGCCAGTCGCCCTTCAGCCACCAGCACGCGGCCGCGCTCCTGGCCGCCGGCTACCACAACAACCCCTACTTCTCGTACCAGCGCGTCAAGTCGGGCACCGGCGTGGAGACCATCGTGCCCATCTGCAAGGACCCGTTCTGCCAGGGCTGCCAGTACAGCATGCACAACACGATGCTGAGCCTGGGCGCGCCTTGCCCGCCCGGCTGCAGCACCTGCGACCACCACAAGTACTCGCTGTCGTCGGCGCTGTACCCGCCCGCGGCCGCAGCCGCCGCGGCGGCCGCCATGCAGGGCCGCCCCTACGTGTGCAGCTGGATCGCGGGCGACTCCTACTGCGGCAAGCGCTTCGGCTCCTCCGACGAGCTCCTGCAGCACCTGCGCTCCCACACGGGGCCCTCGGGCCTGCCCGCCGGCCTGCCCGGCCACGGCCCCAGCCCCGGCCACGGCCCCAGCGGGCTGCCCTCGCCCAACGCCTACTCCCGCTACCACCCCTACGCCAAGCCCGGCGGCGCGGGCGCCTCGCCCACCGGCCTCCTGCCGCCCTCGGCCGCCTCGCCCTACGCCGCCTTCAGCCCGCCGGGGCTCTCCATGTCGCCCGGGCTGTCCGGGATGGCGCTGTCGCCCTACTACTCGCCCTACGCGCTGTACGGCCAGCGGGCCGCCGTGCACCCCTGACTGGAGGACGGCGCGACCAGCAACCAAAGTTACCCCCTGCCCAGGCCCTGAGCGTGACCTGGCGCAGGGCGTGCGCGGGCCCCGCGGGGCCGCCTCGACTGTGATACCTCTGTGTTAGTGTGTGTCTAGTGACTGCATCACTACCACCCCTCTGTCTGTGTTAGTGTGTGTCTAGTGACAGCATCACTATCACCCCTCTGTCTGTGTTAGTGTGCGTCTAGTGACGGCTGGACTGAGCGCGCGTGCGCACATCATCATTATCACCATCATCATCCAGTCTCTTCGTAAATTTTCTCCGCTCGCGAATTAGCATAGCTCAATGTAACGCGGCGGCCATCTTGAAGTGCCAGTGAGTGTTCTGAGTGTTGGTTTCGCCTTTAATAGCCTGTTTTATTATTATTTATATCGCCCGCTCGGAATGGGAGCGTCCGCTTGACAGCGGTTATAAATTACAATGTCTCTGTAATTTATACTCCAGTACTCCTCCCTCCCCCCCTGCGCCAGGCTCGCTTCGGCCAGGCCCTGTTATACTGCTCGCCCGGCCCCCGTATATCCATTTTTTCCACACACTCGTGGGGGGGGGGGAGGAGCTTGCTGCCGCAGTCACTCGTAAATTATCTCGCGAGGGCTGCAATAAAAACTAATGTTAACTTATTCCTGTTTTATGATGTACATTTGCAACGAAACGCCGTGCTCTTGATAATTCACGTGCTAAAGCAATGGCGGAGCCGCTCGGTAGCCTCATAGCCGTCTACTCGTGCGTGAGAGAATATGTGACGTTAATGCTCGTGAGCTGTTGTTAGTGTTTGTCGTTGTTCAATTGTTGCTATGCTGCTGCGATTTTTTTTTTTGAAATTCTTTTGTGTTCTTGAAGTTGTCTGGAGTAAAAGAGAAAGCCAATATGAATTGATGTACTGTTGAACCTAGAAAATATTAAGTTATGTTATCACTGTTAGTTTTAAAGAAAATATCAGGACGAGAGAAAGCGATAAATCCAAAAAAGACTTCTATCGAATGGGAGAGAGTGAGATTGTCCTATTTACGTACGTATGTGTGCGCGCATGTACATATAATGTTGTTTCCACATACAATACTTGAATAAAAAGTATACGTTGTTTCTACCCATGAATTTACGAGTCTTTCCTTTGCAATAAATGTCTTGGCAGACATTATACCCCTGTATCCCCGGCACTCGCTGTCGGCTCGCAGCCCAACATAAACGAGCATAACCACAGGCTGCCAATAATATATTCCCTGTGGCGGCCGGGCCGGCCGTGCGGCCTTATCACGATCTTAAAAGTTATTACCGCCGACTAGTGCTGTTAAAGATCCCGAGAGAAACTTATCAGGATAAGTCTTTAAGAGCAATAGGGTCTGATGGAAAGGCTGCCGCTACTGCCATTCAGAGCTGCTGGTGCTGCTGTTAAAAATGAGACGGGGTGGGCATAAACATAAATTACACGACCGAAACGAGCCGGGTTGGTCTGGCGGGGAGGGAAAGAGAAGAAAGAAACGTCGACCAGGAACACTCAAACACTTGAATTAATCTACTGGAAAGCTGGCTTTTGTTTCGGCACCTTGACACACACACATATGCACTCGTCGGCAAATAAAAAATATTTTTTTTCCGATGTAATTAACCTCTCTTTATGCTTGCTTATGCAACCATGCAACCGACATGTCCAACGACCACGCGCGTCGATGCTCGATGCACTGGACAGTGACGCAAAGATTTTGAAGAACTGGAGCTGTCACGAGGCACTCCCTACACCACATCAACAAGGAAAAGACATGCCATCGCCATCGGGCGTGCAAATTAATGCGTGCAGTATGTAAATGTCAAACCAGGTGGCGACGACTCTGAACCTTATGTCACCCTGATGAGATGCTCAACGTGTTCGCCAAAGTAATGTATACTCTTTTGGTATTCGAGTACACTTGCACGAAGCCCACTTCCGTCGTTTGGCTGCGGCACACTTCCAAACTTGCAGGTGTTTTATGTGAATCACTTTCACGGTTAGAACGGGCGAAGTATTTGAAATTGCTTGTGTGTCAGCCAGCATACTGTGAAAGTTTTTCAGATTTTACGGGAAAACATGCAAAGAGAAGTGTTCTTCTAAAGTTTCTATTTCAAATCGTAAATTTTTCAAAATAACGTATCAGGATGGAATTCTTTGCCTTGCTGTATAATGGCAACGTCACGTCGTAAATTTGCTATTCCGTTTGATAAATTGGCAACATCGTTTGTAGAATCGTAAAAGGCAAATAAAATATTGTAAAGCAACAAAAATATGTCTGACGGCGGTGCTATGGGCCGGTGCTGGCGGGCCCCGTGGCGGCAGGCCGCTGATGTTGTTGGAGTAGTTTTATGACACTGCGCGGTCGGTCGGGAGCACATGAGCCTTGTGATCTCTCACACGCTACACGGCGCACCCAGCCGAGCGGAAGGGGCAGGCGCATGTGAACCCCGTCAAGTGTATGGCGGTGTTCAGTTAGTAAAGTCTGGCCGAGCAGCCGCCCCTCCAACCTCTTCCCCACTCTCCCTCCTGCACCCGTTTCGTTTCTCTCCCCCCGGATGTTGTCGGGTTTAATGGGCGAAGCTTCTGCTGCCTGCTCGGCTTTCTTGCCGTGAGTATCAAGAGGCTGCCTTCCTTTATTAATACATATAAAAACAGGGAAACACGGCCGTGAGTGTGTGATGGTGGCGCTGGATATGGCTCTATCAGGCGGCGTGGGCGCCGGCAATGAGCAGCGTCCCGACCGCGCTATCCGAGTAATTCCGAGGGGAAAAATGTAGTAAAAACTAACGAGTACAGGAATAATTGCTCATTCAGAAACGCCCGTATGAAATTCAGGTCAAGAGCGCTGCTTGCCGTGGACACACGATGCCACACATACCCCTTCCTGCGCATTAGATCAACATTGTTACTTACTTTTATGCCTTCAACATAATTACTTACTTTTATGCTACCGACGAGAAAACTGCAAGTTTGTTTCTCTCAAAATTTATTCGGCAAATGACGGGTGCTCGGCGCCTGCGAGACTCGGGGTAGGCTACCTCGCAATACTCGCATACATTGCTGGCAGGATGTTGCCTACGTACCAGGCGCTAGGAGAGCTTGAAAAGTTTTGCTGAGCTTTACAGGTTCATGATGGAGAATGACGGATGTACTTTCAGGACGATCGACGATCTATAGCGGTAGGTGCCATGCGCTTCTTTCACAGGGCTACCTTCATACTCTGAGGTAGGTCCCGGCACATTGTTGGACGTCCTGCGCCCCCCTGCCTGCACAGCGCTAGACACGAGGCTAGAGACATCCTGCGCCCCCTGCCTGCACAGCGCTAGACACGAGGCTAGAGACGTCCTGCGCTCCCTGCCTGCACAGCGCTAGTCGCGCCGAGCCCGTCCGGGCCGCGTGATAAACCGGCTGGTAAATGCATCATAAACCACGCTCATGGTCTGTGATACCTCGGCGGCCCTCCCCTCCGGCCCTGCTCGCCCGTGGCGCGCCCTTCCCTTCCCCTCCGCCGCCGGTCGCTCCTCCCCTCCGAGAGTGAGTGCTGCCGACAGACGAGCTGTCCGTAGGGCAATTAATACGGCGTGCCGAGTCATCCCAGGCACCATTAGTACTCGTCGGGCCGGCTGCCCCGGCGGCCCATGGCTGCCAACATGGCGGGCGCGCGGCTCGGCGCGGCGGGCCCCGCGGTGCCAACACAACGGAGAGAAATAACAAGCGAAGGGCGGCGGCGGCGCACGCACAGAAAAATCTCTCGGCCGTCATGACTGGGCAGATTGAATCAGTTTTGTAATGCGTGCGGGTATCATACAGGCCGCTCCCATCACTCTTGTCGGCCGCGGTTGGCTACCCTGCCCGAAACCTTCGAGCAGAAAATGTTGTTCAGTCCGTCCTGTTTTTCGTTCGGCAGGTTGAACCGGGAGAAGGCACGCAACGACCCGCGATCTGTTGCGATCGTAGTCCGGAAAACTACCCCGTTCAGTACGGACAAACGTTTTTGTTGGCGTTCGGGTTCCAGGGCTTTCAGGGTTTGGGGGTCGTGGGGTTGAGGACCATGCAGAGGGTTGCAAACGCAAAGCAGGAGTGTAGCTCGGTAGTTCTGGTTTGCCCCCCCCCCCTCTCTCTCTCTCTCTCTCTCTCTCTCTCTCTCTCTCTCTCTCTCTCTCTCTCTCTCTCTTGTCGCGGGTTGCCGCTTGGCGCATTTGAGTTGGAGATATCACGGCAGCGGCGTGCGCAAGGGCAGAGCTGGCGGCTGTGTAGGTCAGGACGGGGCGTGCGCGAGAGCGAGCAAGGGGGGAGAGAGAGGGAGAGAGGAGAGGGTGGAAAAGGAGAGGGAGAGAGAAGGGGAGAAGAAGAAGCTGCCCGACTGACGCACCGTCTATCATCGGAGGAGCCTTGGTCTTCTTTCATTGCCGTCCATTTCTCTTCTGGTGCTTCGCCCGCTTCGCCCCACCCTTCTCTGCCGCTGCGCCCCGCTGCCTGGCAC